CTTGAAAGGAATGATGCAAATATCGTCTAAGAAACAAATTCGTAAGTGAATTGTTGAGGTCTAATTGATTGTTAAATAAAATTTTCTTGTTTGTTGATTTCTAATGATTTGTGTTTCATTTATTTATTTTCTACCTGTAAAATTTAGAAATTGTCATCAAAACTCACATGATGTTCATGAATGCGGTGGTTTAATGTTCTACCTGTCTGACCAATATACAATGTGGAAACCTATGATGGAATAAAATCCATATCCCCATAACGAAAACATATTTAAAAAAAAACCTGGGACAGGTCGATTTTCATTGTTGAAAACTATTTTTTTACATAAAAATTGGCAATCTCCTGTCAACCTCCTACCATACAGATAAACACATTCAAAATTATCAAATTTTGCAAGGAGTCAAGTTATACCTTGTTAGATCGTGCTTGTTAGAGAGGTATTTTAAATCTCTATTTTTTTTATTCAGTTGAGCCATATCCCCAACGAGAGCCTAAAGTTTTCGAACCATTCCCAAACCTCATTGTTAGATTGGTCACAGTGAATCACGTGATACATTATGGACGCATGCGCATCATAAAAAAAACTTGAAATTATAAATAAGACCCTCGGCCCTCGGGGTCTCCACTGTCTCCACGGGAAGGAAAAACATCCTTGAAAGCAGGAGATTATTATTTTTCTTACTGATATGTCATTAAACAATTGGTAATTTCAGCTTTTATCTCCTGCTTTTATCATGTTTGTCATTTAATTGTTTTTTTAACAACATTGATAAGCTGCTGATAAGCACTTGCAGGAGTGGATTTTGTTGATAAGCTATATTATATTATTACAACAGATGAAAAAAATGAACCAAGCTCATCAAATAGGAAGTGTATAGACTGCTGACCAGTCGGCAATCTATACTTTTTTTAGGCTGCCGACCATTCTTTGTTTAGGATGCCGACCAGTAGACTGAAATTATCAATTTTAAGGAAGAAGAAACATGATTTAAAAATACAACTTAAAAATTGAGATATACTTATGCAAACACACTAACCTATTAGTGGAACAAAAACCTGATCAAAAAAATCTGGGGAACTAACAATGGAGGAAGGAGGAAATAGATTAGAAAACAATAAAATATAAAAAGAAAATGATGTATACTCAACCCAAACAGACTAACCAATTAGTGAAACAAAAATCTGATGAAAAAAAAAATAAAAAAAACTATTCCATATGGAATTTTAACACAGGACCACAGGATAGACAAGCCAATGTCAAACCACTAAGCTACTAACCATCTGGGATCTTTTCGGTATACAGAAAGAATGTATTCCCCTGAATGGTCAGCATCTCAAAAAAAAGTATAGACTGCTGACCAGTCTGCATACTATGCCTTTTTTTTTGGTTGCTGACCAATTTTATACAGAAAGAATGTATTCCATTGAATGGTTGGCAGTCTAGAGAAAAAGTATAGTTTTCCCACTGGTCGGCAGCCTATATATAATATATACACTTATAACACATTGAAAAATGTCACTGGCCCCTGGGCTATAACTTATCAACTAAGACTATTGGAACTTCAGGAAGCATACTTGGATGGAGAAAAGTTTTGTACATAAAATTAAATATGGAATTTGAGTTATCTGGGAGAGTGATATTATTTCTAACAATTAAACAAAGAATATATCCAACATACATTCAAATGATACTAAATTCAGGCATCAAGATCATCAGGCAAAAGCAAGAATAATCACTTTGCACTTTTATGAGTTGGATGATATTAAAGCATGCATACACTAAGTAATACCTGTAAGGGTACACGCTTGGGTGTTATATGTGCTGGCATTTGAAATGCTGGAATGGGAGAGGTTTGGCTAGGGTACACATAATTTCTTCTCAAATCAGGTGACCCATGCTATTATGAAATTTAAATAATCCAATGGCAGCATGTGAAGAAGGAAGTGTTATTTTTTTAAGATGCTCTAACCATGATCTGTTGGTTGCAAAATTCACCTGCATTGGAATATATTCTGTTTGGATATTGGTGAAGTGTTTAGGTGTTCCCTGGAATGGTCTGTGACGATTTCGTGGATCTTCCCAGGTTGTTGTCCTGGTGTAGTGGTTTATAAAGTAGCTAAAATGACAATTTTGATATAGTATATAACTATTCTTTTGGAGAAAATCTTACTATTTTCCTGTATTTTCATCTTTTTTACAATCCCACCCAGGAGGCATATCATTTTGTAAGTCGGCCATACTACCTATCACGATGCAGAGAGATCACAGTGGAGAGATGGAACTGAAAATTGTGAAAATTCACATTAGTTTATACAATAGCGGATACACAGAAACCATCTGCGAATCGTCCCGAATGCGCGCGCATATATCAATACAGATCTGCAGGTCCCAGGTTCGATTCGCTATGAACTTAATCTTTTTTTAACAACTTTTTTTCACCAATGTATCTTTACTTCATTCTGGTTTAGCTTCCTCAAAAAATATCGAATGTCGAATAGGTTAGTGCGTTTAGGATAAACAGTCTCATTTTATTCAATTTTGTTGAAAAACTTGACTTATCATTGATCAATGTGTATTTACTTCATTCTGGTTTTCCTTCCTCAAAAAATATTGCAATTAGGAATAGGTTAGTTTGTTGAGGATAAATAGACTCAATCCATTCAATTTTGTTGAATAGGTACTATATTTTTATATGACTGAAATTTTCCACTTCATCCTATTTTCTTTTCTCGAAAAGATTCGGATTCAATCACGATTCATTTTGAATGCACCGCCATAGCTAGAATCGTTCTGATTGGTTCATACACTCGGGACGATTTGCAGATAGTTTCTGTGTATCCGCTAGTAGTTTATACTAGAGTCACTGGATGCTATTAGTTTGATAAGAGTTCGGACACAGAAATGACAACTGTTAGGGTTTTTGAATGTTTAGATTCATTAAGTTACACACCTTGCATTGTGACAATAGCACCATAGTCGTCCCGCGCTTTTTATTCAAATTTGTTTGACAGTAAATTTTATGAACGTCAGATTTGAAATGAAATGTAATAATTATACTTTCGAGAAAAAAGCAGCTATGGAAATCACTTGCTGTATAATAACGTGTGCCAAATCTGATAAAAATGGATATCATTTATTCAATTTTCCAAAACAAATATATCAACCATTCGCTTATGGAAGGAAGATATGAAACGGCCTGGGTGGAAAATCAATTTCAAGACGAGCGAAATTTGTGAGGTACTCATTAAAATTAGCTTCTTATAACAGCATCTGATCACAGAATGAAACTATATTTCAGGTCCAGTTTGGAACAGAAGATTTCAAAATCTGTTCGAGAGAATCTGCCATTCCATCAATTTACAAAGCAGACGATTTCAAAATTCCATTATTATCATCACACGAAATACAGAACAAAATAATCATGGAAAGAGGACATGACCGTAAAATTACATAATGAAATTGGAAATTTGAAAACAAAACTAAAAAAAGCAAGGAAACTACAACGTGATATATTATTGAATGGCGTTTTTGGTGCCGATCAAATTCAAAATTCAACAGTGAAAAGTGAATTATTCTATATCGATCCATGTTTTGCTTAGATGCTTAGCTCCTAAGGCGCTAACTGAAGTTGCTGAGAACTTTTCAGAAAAATGTATTTGGTATATCGATCCATGTTACTTAGATGCTTACCTTCTAAGGCGCTAAGTGAAGTTGCTGAGAACTTTACAGAAAAATGTATTTGGTAGGTCTCGTCAAAATTAACTACTTTTTTCCAAGGGAATGTTTATCAAAAAATGATTTGTTCTCTGTGTTTCATCACCCTCTATCTCCGAAATGAAACATTTCCGGACACAAGCTTATATACACTTTATTTCTTAAAATTGTCTCAGAAATACTTCACTTGAACGTATTTATGTTACTTCCTGTATATTGAGAATACCTACCTTTAATTAAATATTGATAACTTCATGTTTTATACTTATCACTGGAGTACAGTTTGACATACAATAAGGATTTATAGCTATGAGTTTATCCATATGTGTATATTTTCTAATATTAAAACGTTGGTACATGCATTCTTCTCATTTATATAACAGTTGTTCTGCTAGAAGTGTATCACTATAAATTTAAGTGGGTGTTTGTACCCTATATCCATTGTCCATCTACGGCTATGATTGATTTGACAGAAAATATAACCTCTAAAATCGTATTTGACAATCAGGCGCTTCTAGGGAATTTGAAAAGACAAAGAGCAGAATATATGTCTTATTCTTTTATTCACTTAAACCATTGTATTATAGAAAATAGAAAAGGACAAAAGTTCAGCTGTGTCCGAACTCTTATCAAACTAATACCATCCAGTGACTCTAGTTTATACAATAAAATGGGATAATTTAATATTATTGTTATGAAAGATTCCTTTTATCTTCTTCTTTAATATTCTTGTGATTGTTTATTGTTTATATAGTTTAGGTCAACAAGTTGTCATTTGTCAACCAATATTTCATTTTAATGTCACCTTTACAGACCTTGACCTTTAAACATGAAAACCGTCAACATCTTGTCCTTGTCAAACTTGTCAATTATCGAGGACCATAGTTTTGTTCCCTACATCGTGGTTCCGGGGAAAGGAATGTCACATACATTTCATTATTTTCGTTGTTTTTTATTGTGTCTCGACTATTGAACTAATTATAGCATTTTTGATATCAGAAAATGCCTATCATTCAAATGATTGACGCTGAGAATAATATTCAAATTCCACCAGCACTGTCTTTTTGATTTTTTATTTCGGAACACAGATTCTCAGCACAGTCAGTAGATGTATACTGACAGTACTGACCAGTTGAAATCAAAATATTTCCTGACAGGTTACCTCTTGGTTGCTCTCAGTTTCTCTAACCATTGACGTCCTAAATGACAACCTAGTTGGGTAACAAGAGGGTTATAGTCCAGTGGTAACAGGTCAAGTTATAAAAATATCAGGTAACAGGGTACAGGGTTATAGTTCAGTGGATAACAGCATTGAGTATTTAATGGATTGAGCCGACACCCGGCATCCGAGACACTGTCTTCATGCGTTTGACGCACAGAACGCATAATACATGAGTTTGGTGGTTTGACGCCTTTGACATTTGTCTTTCTTCGATTTGTATTTTGTCGTTTTGTAGTCGCCATTTTCCATTTTAGGAGTTTAGTAATATTAATTTTTATTTTGTTCCCGCCGTTCCTGGTTTTACCATTTTAGCACCGTTTAGTTTTACTTCAAAACGGTGATTTTAGTTATATTTGGGAATTAGCGGTTGGCGCAAATGAAATTAATATAATAATAATATGGAGTCTGAATCTGGAAGTAACGACAACATTGGTGAATCCACAACAGCAACAGAATTTCAAGTAGTGCAGCTAGTTGAATCTTTCCAAAATGTAGAGGGTGTAGCCATTGCTTCGCCTACGAATCATATATGTACAAACAGTTCTTCTAATATCATACTCGGTACTATTCCAAAAGGGAAGTATTATAAACAAACCTACCGGCCTGCTTGGGAGCAAATGCCTGATTTCAAAGGTATTTCTGTTTAATATAATATATTATTATTCTTATTAATCTGGAACTTATCTACTATTTCGAATATTCCAATGTTTTCAAAGGATGGCTCAGAGGAGTAGAAAATGAACCTACAAGGGCCTACTGTACATATTGCCACAAAACATTACATGCTCATCGGTTGAGTTTACTGAAACATACTTGTACCATTCGACACCAAAAAGCTGCCCAGTATTATAGTAGTCAAAAGGTACTATACATCCCATAAGTATATTTAATCTTCATACCTGTTATGTGATTTCAGAATAAATTGAAATCTTTAAAAAAGTCAGAATCAGCCACAATGGTCCATGGTTCAAAATCTGATGCTTCAGCTGAAATTTATACAACTGAAAATGAAGATGTTGATGAATTGAATGTGGAATTTCCAGAGTCAGTTGATGTGGAGGGCACAGAAATTGACTTTGATGATGATGATGATGATGAAGATGAGGAAGACTCTGAAACCCATGATATTCAAAAGGTAGATTGATTACCACATTTTGATTCCTAGTTTTCTCCATATTGAGTTCATCAGTGGTATTTCTAAAGCACATTAATCTCTATAGGATGGGAAAATGAATAATTTTCTCAAGCCAGCAGTGTCCACTGAAGTGACTGACTTGTCAAAAGGTCGACCAATCACAGGATTGCAAGTTAGTCTTTACAAATTGGTAGATGGTAGGTGGACTTACATCAATGAAGGTGTTACTGGATCCACTGGAAAGGTCACAGACTTCTTGGCTAGAAGTGATTTTACTCTTGGTAGATACAAGCTACACTATGATGTTGATAGATACTTTGAGGCCAGGAAACAGAATACTATGTACCCATTTATAGAAGTAAGTGGTAATATGTATACAGCATATCTCACTTCAAATGCCCCCATTAGAAATGAAAGTAATTTTGGACTGTGGCTGTGGGTTTTTATTAAAATAAAAGGGGGTGAATTTTTCATGAATTTATATTAGGAATTCTTTACAGGGAAACTGACCTCATAGTATTGTTCCTCATGGTTTCACACCCCCATTTCATGTATGTAATGTCTATGGAGGTTTTGAAAAGACAGGCACATCTAAATAGCATTTTTGTGAGATCAACAAAAATGGTTTATCTTGTTTTTCCTTTCAAATCATTATTTTCTACCTACAAGAGATATTGAATGTTGCAAAATTAGCAGTTTTTTCATGGCTGAAAATGATAAAAATGAAGCCAGTCCTGCTGATTCAGAATAAGGTGATTTTTTGCATATGGAGGTTCAGAATCATAAGGAACAATAATATGAAGTTAGTTTTGCTGCAAAAAATTACTAATATGATTTCTTAATAAAATCAACCTCTTTATTTCAATAAAAACGCAGGGCACTGTCCAAAAGGATGTTAAATTATTAGTTGTTATTTACATATTTATGTCCTCAAAGTGTACCAATGAAAAAATAGAATAAAGTATTACTGGACACTGGTGTTTAAAATTAACACTTGCTCTATTTTGAACACTGGAAAACTGGACTTATACTTTAATATATTCTTTATTGTTTCAGATAGTGTTTGACTGCCATCTTTACACAGACTCACACCACATACCCCTGCTGCTGAGCCCTTTTGGATATACCACCTATAAAGGATCTTGAAGTTATGAATTTGTTTGATTTTCCCACTGTAATACATTTCAAGAATAAATAAATAAATATGACTTGAGAACATATGCAATTGTTGATTATTATTTACTGATTTTCAAATTTTGTTAATGTCCCATTTATAATGACAAATGATTTGTAGGTATGTACTAGAATAAGTTTCATCAATTTCTGGAAATACCTTAAAGATGAATCAGGTGAGTATATCCCCATATCTGCCTTATTTAACATATAAAAACGTTGTAGGAAGTGTATTATATTCCAAAATGATCATATAATGAAATACTTCAGGTTTACTACCCTCTAAATTGTCAAATATCAACATTTTAGAATCTGTGATTTTATTGAAAATGAATACTATCAGATAAATAAAATTAAATATAAATTACCAATATGTTCAGTATTTAAATGAAAATTGAAATGTATAGGTGAAGTATACTTGTATAAACTCTGATCTTGATGAGCTGGTCATGCATCAAACAAAAAATCTGTGATTTTAGTTAGGTTATAATAATTGATATAACGTACAATTCCTTATAAATCACCCTGTATAATATCTTGAAAATAGAAAAATACCTATATCTAATATTTTATCAGTGAAAAAAGGTGATAACACAACAATAATGATAACGACAAGTGAATTGTGGATACATAGGTCAGCTGTATGAAAATAATAGTTTATTTTATACACAGGTCACCCTGTTCGATGATAATGACATCGTAATATAATAAAATTAATAAATAATTGATAAACCCACTTTTCCGCCCTGCCAGCGTGGCTCAACTGAACCGACCAATCAGATGATCGCAACGCAAACGCTCAACTAATTATTGCAGAGCAGTGTTGCCGAATGCGCAAAATCCAATAAAATTGTTATTATGTCCCATTCAAGTTTCATCCTCGCGACGTCGCCGCGATGTAACCGCGATATATCTTATGCAACGTTATTGCGATAAGTTATTTGTGATGAAAAAGCGATGTTCCGAAACGGAAAAAGAAGTATCCTCAAATATAGTGTGATAATAGGTCCATCGCTGACTTCTGGTGACATCTAATATTGATTATGTGTTGTGACTGAGATGTTGTGACGGAGGTTGTGACTGGTTGGTGGTCCCTCGGGTCTTCTGTCCATTCAATCGTCTTTTCAGCGGCGCTACCCTTGGTACTTATGAATCTATATCAGAATGAGATGTGTTACTCGTATTTCTATAAAAAAATATAGTGTGTGTTTCGGCGAGCTGTAAGCAAATCAAGAGTAGTTTGATAACAATGTAACGAATATTTGCGAATTCAGCTTCACTTTGTTGAGTAACGTTGCTTCTGTACATCGCAGCGATGGAACATTCGTAATATCGCAGTGTTGCCTCATCGCGACATCTCAGAGATATCATGTTTGCGATGGAACGTTTGTGATATCCGATCATTCTTAAACGCGACGTCTCAGAGATATCATGTCACAGATTTGTTATTGGCTGGGTTCGAAGGTATTATCAGATTAGGGTATTGCCAATTAATAACATTGATAATGACGTCATAACTTCAACAATTATGACGTAATCAAAAATATGAGTGGTCAAAAATTGGGCAAGGAAAAAGAAAATCGACGTGTCAGAGAGCTTTTTGCTCCACTTGCCATATGTTATCAAGCATTCAACGAATTTGTTCTAATCTTTAAGTGTCTATTTGTTATTTTGATTTGTAGGTTCTTTACTCATGATGACAGTTATCATTGTCATTTCAAAATATCATTTAAAAATGGCCGAAACGAATATCCATAGAAATCTCAGAAATCTTCTTACACCTGGCAACAGTGTTCAAAATGTTATATTTCGTCATCCCCACTCTTTGTTTACGTTCTAAAGGCTATAAAACGTCATGTTGTTGATAACTTGCAGTTTTACAAGTGTTTTTTTGTAGTTGGTGCATCAAAAAATCAACATCAAAATGACATCAAGAGACAGGGCCACCAACCAACTCGTCGACTATAAAAATAAAGTTACCGAGGTAAGAAAGTGGCCTCAATGGCATTAATTCATCGTTTCACCATCTTATGTTTACTGTTGAATGTCCATTCATAACAAGCCACAGTATTCCAAGCTTGATTTCTCTTGATGATTCCTGTTTTCACTCTTCATTCATTTGACATTTGGGAATCGCCAGAAGCTATTGTTGAATAATCGTTGATTTGATCTTCATCTTCTTCAGTCGTCTGTTGCTCTTTTTTTCTATTTTTCTCAAGGGCGAAGTACAGGGCCGGATTAACCAAAGGGACGAGGGGCAACTGCCCAGGGGCGAATTCAGAATTGGGGGCTAAAATTCGCGAATAAGTAGGTATCATAAGCAACAAAAAAAAGAATTTCCCAATAATCGCCAGGATTTTATTCCTTTGAAGATATTATTAATTATAAAAATAAACAAGAGATTGATGTATTCCGAGATGTATTCTGTACATATTATCCTTGATATTATCTGTAACTAAATCTGTAACTGTCAACTGTCTATATATTTCCATTGTTTCTCAACAGCTTTTTTGTTACTAAAATGCTCAACACATGAAACGTAAAATCGCATTTTTTCGATCAAATTTGAGTCATCATAACTTTCGATTTTCTCAACCGATTTTCAATTATTTTTCAGTTTCTGAGAGCTCGTTTCATTGACTATCGAACCTATGGATATGACTATTTCATCTTTTCCGGAGGAGATTCTACAGGATGATAATCAAAAGCTGTACATTTTTCCAAACATTTCAAACGCCTCCCGTTTGAAAGAAAAATTTTTCTATTTTTTTTGGGGTCAAAAACATATTGCTTAATTGCTTCATATGTTTTCTCGATACTGTAGAAATTTTTTTGTAATTTTCACACGCGTTACTGAAATATGAATGTTTTATTAAGTTAATGCATAATTTAATGCTCTAATTTTTATTGGCTTTGTGTTCCTGTCAATCTGGTGTTCGAACGGTGGTCAAAAATCTTGAAATGATGCATGATCAACCTATTCTTATATACAGGGTGGTCCTCAAACAACAATTATGACATCAAGTGATGAAAGAAAATCTTGTTTTGAAAATGAATTGTGCCCTGGGCGCCAAGTGGTCTTGATCCGGCCCTGATGAAGGGCTTACTAGCATAGTAAACTAGGTATCTGGACAATCCTAGACAATTTCAATAACCTATGTTAAATCTTCACATCTCATCGATCTGAAAACAAAAACATCGTGACTTTCTAATTTGTATACACTTGAGAAAAACCGTCGAATTCGGAAACTGAAATAGTAGTAGGAAATAGTAATTTTCCTAACAAGTGCGGAAAGTGATTCTTTCCCGCACGTGACTGCCGTTGACACGAACGACGCGAAGCGGAGTTCGGGCAAGCAGTCGAGTGCGGGAAAGACACTTTCCGCATGAGTTAGGAACAATATTTTTTCTACAAGCGTAGGAAATTGATTGAATCGTTCAATTAATTATTCAAGCAAATAGGAACAACTAACAAGAGATATATATTCTCTATCTATTAATTATTAGTAATAGCTATTGTGAACTTACAGTTTGACGCATTATGTTGGTTCATTGCGGAAGCCAGCAGGCCCATTAGGAGTTTGGTCTCTAGGTTCCAGACACTTCTATGGAATGAGCCAAAAATACCTATTCTTCATTCGGTTTTTTTCATTTCTTTGTTGTTGCACCATTCAATTAAACGCATGTATAGCTTCTCATACCTTTCTTAAGACTTCGTTGGTGATATTAACGCATCTGTATCAAATCCCTATAGCTAGAAGTTTTTGATCATTGGCATGACAAATTGACGTTTCCCGACAGATCAATCCAAATCTATAGGGGGATTTTTATAATAATCCATTTTTATTTCTCAATATTTCTTAATTTTTACAATAAATAGTGCAATTTGATGGATGATTCTAAACATACATACTTAATACTGCAACAAACAATCTTAAACTTTTATATTCCATCACCAACCACTTATATTACTAGCGATTATATCATATCTTTGTTTTCCCGCACTAGTGCGGGAAAAAATTCCCCGCACTAGTGTGGGAAAATTTTCCCGTACTGTTGCGGGAAAATGACACTTCCCAAACTAAATTGCGTGCGGGTATAGGGTGAATCACGCACACTTGTAGAAAAAAAAAATCCGCAAGAGTTAGGTACAATTTTTTTTCTATGAGTGTTTTTGTCCATATGAAAAAAAAATATTTTTAATGAACAAGATTTTATCATAATGCTACAAAATGACATAAGACAGAATAGTTACATAGATCACAATATGAAAATCGTTCGGAAAAGTAACTTTTCCGCACGATCTTATCGATTTTACGTGCGGAAAAATAAAAATCGTGCGATTAAGAAAAATCGAACGGAAAAGTAACGAAAAATCGTGCGGAAAAGTTACTTTTCCGCACGATCTTATCGATTTTACGTGCGGAAGAATAAAAATCGTGCGAATAAGAAAAATCGAACGGAAAAGTAACGAAAAATCGTGCGGAAAAGTTACTTTTCCGCACGATCTTATCGATTTTACGTGCGGAAGAATAAAAATCGTGCGAATAAGAAAAATCGAACGGAAAAGTAACGAAAAATCGTGCGGAAAAGTTACTTTTCCGCACGATCTTATCGATTTTACGTGCGGAAGAATAAAAATCGTGCGAATAAGAAAAATCGAACGGAAAAGTAACGAAAAATCGTGCGGAAAAGTTACTTTTCCGCACGATCTTATCGATTTTACGTGCGGAAGAATAAAAATCGTGCGAATAAGAAAAATCGAACGGAAAAGTAACGAAAAATCGTGCGGACAAGTTACTTTTCCGCACGATCTTATCGATTTTACGTGCGGAAGAATAAAAATCGTGCGAATAAGAAAAATCGAACGGAAAAGTAACGAAAAATCGTGCGGAAAAGTTACTTTTCCGCACGATCTTATCGATTTTACGTGCGGAAGAATAAAAATCGTGCGAATAAGTAAAATCGAACGGAAAAGTAACGAAAAATCGTGCGGAAAAGTTACTTTTCCGCACGCTCGTAGGAAAAGTAACATTTTCTATAGAAATATTAATTAAGTACACCGTATATACGGTCGATGGTACCTTGGACGAATACGGAAAACGGAACATTGGATTATTCTAGAATATTACTGCATTTTCATATTTGTGATTACATTCTGAATCTTTTTGTCTCTGACACTTTCCTCATACCCATCTCTAACGTTTTCACTAAGTAATATCACGATGTTCTGAATATTCGAGATAATTCTGTGGCTTCTTTGATTACGAAATTATGTTGCCGAGCAACACCAAGAGTCCGTCAGGACGAGTACGGCAAACAATTGACTTAACGATGAAGGACAGAATTTACCCAAAAAATACGACCTCGAAGTTTTCTGCAATATTAATGAAACACACCCTGTATATACCTATACCTACTGTACATAAACCTCAAAGTAATAGGTACCTAATCTGAAAATATGAATAGGTACCGACTTTAAAATTATTCGAATGAATAAGTTTAAAGTAATGTTATATTTCATATGGAAATATTTTATTGAATTTATTTAAATGAGGTTTTCTCTCCTCTACACCCTGTTCCGCAAGATCTCATCAATACACAGTATCACGCCTGTTAACCTAGATATTATACCTATGTACAGGGTGTCTCCTTATATTTTGACCCCTACCTACCTACAGATACAGGGTGATCAGAATTCTGAATCTTGAAGCACCCTGTATTTTTTTCAATTAAATTCCAGTAGATAGTGAATCAAAAGTTAAGATAGGGACATGTAAGCCGTTTTGATCGATAATGAATAGTTTCGACACGAAAAAAATCCTAAAATTGAAAAATCTCGATTTTGAACACCCTATATCTCTGTGATCATTCCTGCTGGAGCCCAAGTGTGATGAAATCAGCTCTTCAGGAAGAATCTAAGAATGCAATAAAATACAGGGTGTTCCATTGGAAATAACAAAGTTGCTAGTTGTTTCTGAGAGAAGTGGCAACCCAATTTCCAGAATGTTCTGTCTTTTCGTTCTCCAGATACTTCTAATAGGCCATCCACCGTGGATCACCCTGTATACCTTCCTATGCTTACCTACATACATGAAAATCTCCAAGGGCACAAACTTTCATTGAACTGTTTTTGACGAACAATTAGGTAACTGATAGGAATATTTCGGGTATATGCGAGGGAAAATTATTTAAATAGTTATTTTCCTAACAAGTGCGCAAAGTGTTACTTTTCGCACGCACATACAGTTAGGCGAACGACGCGGAGCGGAGTTCGAATAAGTTCTTGCGTGCGGAAATGACACTTTGCGCACGTGTTAGGAACAACGTTTTTCCTACGAGTTTCATATCAAATAAAGAGGAAAATAAAAATAATATATAACCTATTGAAAAGTGTAATTATACAACAATCACATATAACAATAGAATATAATAATGGAAGAACAGTTTCAATCTACTTGGTAGAATGTAACTGAACTCTGGCCATTTATTCGCCACATTAAGTATGCTTTACCTACAACCTTATACTTGTCATTGTTTTTGGGGAATAATAAACGTATTATTATTATTATTATTATTATTATTATTATATTAATAATCGAAAATCACATTTTCCCTACGAGCTTCATATCAGATAACAACGAAAATAAAAAAAATTTCAACAAATTACAATCTATTGAATAATTTTTAGTTAAACTTGATAGAAATAGCTAAACAACAAACAATTACATATCAATAAAATATAATGACGGAAAATTAAATCATTTGTTCCTAATATTTAGATTGAGGTGAAATACAAATATCGGGAAGAACGGTTGAAAAGTAAAAGGGATGACGGCTTCTTATTGTACATACAATAGTCTACACTCTACAGCAACTAAAATGAATATAAATGTTCCATACCAGTGAGATTTTTGGGTAGTTTTACTTAGTGCGGAAAAGTATTACTTTGCGCACGCAAATGAGTTCGGAAAAGTACTACTT